AAATTATTCTTTAAACTTTATTTAACAGATTTTTCCTGTATTGATTACATTTAAAAATTGAAGGAAAAAAATTTACATGTTGCAAAAAAAACAAAACAACAACAACAACAACAACACATGTAATGACCCAAACTGGACATAATTACCACCTCAAAAGTCTATATTTTTACAAATAATAATTTGTTTCATCTTTACAATGTGTGGTCATAACATTAAACTGTTTTATTGTATTTAAATCAGGAAAAAAAAAAATCTGTATTTTACAGATGTTTGCCACAATTTTGTTTTACCATCTTTGCAATTTTTAAACAGCATTCCTCTATTTTGTAATATGTTTTTTCTGGCACCCTTGCAGCCACATTTTTGGTGTTTTTTACAGAACGTTCATTTTTCACTGTTTCGTTAATATGCTATATACAGTAAATATTTGATTTATATTGCAAATACGTTTTATGTTATATTCATCCATTTTTGTTTTTCTTGGACTTTGGTCATCTGTGTCCTTATCACATCCATCCAGAGTCTCATGGTGTCTATTCTCTGTGACCCTTCATCTCCACTGGGACACCAGCTGACATCACACACTCACACGCACACTCTGGACCAAGTCCCCTGAGGTTCGAGCCAACACAATGTCATTATCATCCATCGGATTGTACGTGGTCACTGCTCATTCAGTCTTGCTGACTTGCCTTTTGTGCTCAGTAATTCTTCTCACAGAAGCCCCCTGCCCCGCCCCCAGTCCGCCCTGTCCTACGCCCCCGTCTGCTGCGGCCCATCTGTAATCCCATCCCCCACCCTGCACCCCCATATCCGCCCGTCTCGCTGTGCACTTCTCCAAAACAAACCAGCTGTCTTGGCCGGTCGTGTCCCCGAGGGCGTAAACAGGTGCCGGAGGGCCGCAGGGCCTCAGCATGTGACACATGGCAGCACGCTCCTCCAGCTTCCCCTCCAACCTGCCAGCACACAGAGCAGAGTGGTGTGTTTTACAGCTGCAGGCCTGATTGTTACCACAAATAAGGAGCTGCTGATAACTTAAAGTGTAAAAACCACTGCTTTCACACCTTCTGTCTCGGTCAAACCATTACTTTGCAGTTAATGTTTGTGAAAGAAGTGATTCATAAAACTTCTGTTTTGCAACTCACTAGTGCCATTAATAAAAAAAAATATTTTTAATTTCAAAACATTGCTATGGAGTGATCATTCAGCTCAACGTGTGCAGAAAGAACCTTGACGTGCCTTTAGCAGATATAAAAATATACACTGCTGTGTAACCAAAATAGATAAAAGGAAAGGGGTCTGTCCTGCTGAGCCTAAAGCCAGCTGTATTTTTAGCACAAACTACACACTGTGCACAGAGAGGGGGACTGCTGGACGCAGGTCAACGCGCCTGTACACACATACCAAAATGGTAACCACAGGTCAATGCTACTATTCTCATATGACTGTGAACTGTCAATGGAGGCACTGACTAAAGCTTTGCACCCAGCCACCATCACCATCCTCATGTCTGTTGATTGAGGGCATTTTGCAGTCTGTAAGAAACAGTATGCAAGTTATTCTTCTTTTGTGTTTCACTCTGTAAATGGAAACCCAACAAGCTCCTTTGTGCAGAGCACTGTCAACTTTTACAACTCTTTCAAGCACCTGCTAATAAGACACCCAAGTTTGGAAACCGTGCTTGAAAGCAGTAAAGTCTTTCTTTTGAAGCTCAAAGAACAAAGGCAGTTTCACACCCTAAACTGTCCCACTATCACTCTCTCTTTCGGTGCACTGCTGCACATCTATTGTACATCTGGCACTTGACTCTTTGACACTGTGTGTGCATAAAGTAATGAGCGTGTTAAGAGGGGGGTTGCACATGCAATATGGGTGCATGTGCGTCGACGCCAGGCCATAGTTGCGGTTTAGGGGCTGAACTAAGCTGCAAGCCAAACTGCCACCTTGTTGAGCGCTGAGTTTGTACCTCTAACAAGCTGAGGCAAGTTCACCATCTTCTGCGTGCATGCATGACGTCTATCACCTTCCATCTTACAGCAGCTCCCCAGTTATTCACTCATGTGGAGACAAACAACAACCCAGTAGCAATTACTGGAAAGCCCTGTGCGGGATGCTGAATGTCAAACCTCAATCTTTTATACAATAAACACACGCAGGAATGCATCCTTATGCAACATCAGTTATGTGACTGCCAGTCAGACAATTGCAAATATGTGCATCTCTAAAAATAAAATGGAAAAAAAGAGAAGATTTTCCCTTTTTAAAGTTAAATCTAAACTTTATTACAATGTGGAGGGAGGACAGAACATCATGGCCCTTTTTGACACTATAATTATGCTACATAGATACACTGAAACTGACTCATTTAGAGGTTTTTTTTTCAGACAATTCACAAAGAAATCTAACAAAAACAATACATTTGAACTTTCTGAGAGCACTCAAATGGAATAAAGTGTTTGCTCCGTGTTGCATAACTCCCTAAATCAAGTGATCCGTGCATGAGTGTGATTGTGACAGCTTATTTAGCCACATGCAAGTTTTTTATCAGCAGGGAAAAAGGTTGGGGATTGTGCAATATGAAGGCAGCACATTTGGCCAGCTGCTCAGACTGGCCTTTCACAGGTCTGCTGTGCAGTCTGAAGCCTGAATGGAGACTCTCAGCAGCAGCTCCTGCATTTGCATTTGATGCAGACTTCTAGCAGACTTCAGTCGGCGGACTCAGCACCGCGGATGAACTTCGCAAAACTTTGCAGCTCGGAAGTTAGCGCATCTGCTGAAACGCAACGCTAAAGAGGAACTTTTGCTTTTCAGTCGAAGTGAAAAACACAGTTTGGGTGCGGTTCGGGTTGGGGTGTATTTAAAATAGCTGCGGTGTGAAGAAGTGCAGACGGAACTAGGTTTCGCGGCGGAGTGGTACTAAATCCAAAGCGCAACAGACTGCCGGTGCACAGTTCGCCGCTGAGCTCGAGCCAGACGGACCAAGTGCGCTAAAACTGCGGGCTTTGACTCCGAGATGCTCCTGTGCGCCTTTTAGGAAGCAAAACAACTCATTTTCAGCTAAATAACGCTCAGATATCCACAGTTTGGGTCGCTTTTTAGGAGCAGCTGCTCCCGTGTTTCGTCCAAACCGACGGACTTCGTGACACTGGACGGACTTAACTGAACTCAAGATGTCAATTTTGCCTTTCACTCCCCCCATCGTCAAAAGACTTCTGGGCTGGAAGAAGGGAGAGCAGAACGGCCAGGAGGAGAAGTGGTGCGAGAAGGCGGTCAAAAGTCTGGTGAAGAAGCTGAAGAAGACGGGACAGCTGGACGAACTGGAGAAAGCCATCACCACCCAGAATGTCAACACGAAGTGCATCACCATACCGAGGTAAGCGGAGTTTGAGCGCTGCCTTGACCGTTGAATCAGCATCCTAGCTAGCGTAGTTTGTTGGATTTTTCTCTTTATTTGACTGAAAACTCCCATGCGTGTCCCCTGCTCGGTATCGAGCAGCACCTTACACACGTATGGCATCAGTACGTGACTGAGAAGTTCACATTTCCTCTTCCTTTCTGGCGTCAGTGTGTCAAACTCTAGATTTCCTTCACGTTTATTATGCAGCAACATGGTGGCTGAGGTAACTGCTTAACGGGCTAACGCTGGTCCATGAGCGCAGCTAGCAGATCATCGCTCAAACATCTCCTCGGTTAGCTGCCGTGTCATCCTGCTGCCCTCATGTGCACACTTCACTTTAAGTGAACCGAAACAGTCCTCAGCAGTTTCTTGTCACCAAACTGACTTGTAACAGGAGTCGTTTTTGCTCAAAACAGGATCCAGTTTGTGCATTAACTAGCCAGCAGAGCACATGCAGTGCAAAAGCACTAATGGAGTCCAAGTTATATAACTTGGCCTTAATCTGGGACGCTTTCTAGCGTTGTTAGTGCGTGGGCGAGTCTGTGGAGCCGGGCTCTCTTCTCTCCTTTCAGTGCTTAGCTGCACAGCCTTTTGTCTATCATCACACGATTCAGAAAAAATAAGCGACACTGCCATTTGACATCAAATTACTGCTGGTAGCTTCAGTGAATCAGTTCTTTCCTGGTGAAAAGCTCTGACAGGTAAGAGCCTGCGATGTGCAGTTTGAACACAAGAGTTTCTGAAATGTGTGCATCATTTCAGTAGCACTAATGTGGCATTTAAGATTGACAGTTTTTTTCACGGCACTTTTTGATAATCAATCTTTTGTCTATCATCACATTATTCAGAACAAACAATCAACACTGCCATTTGACATCAAATTACTGCCAGCAGCTTCAGTGATTCAGGTTTGGTATAAGCAACCTCTCTCCTCCCTTGATGAGAAGCTGTCTCAAGTAAGAGCTTGTGAGGTGCTGTTTGAACGCAAACATTTCTGAAATGTGTGCATCATTTCAGTAGGAGTAATGTGGAGTTTAAGGTTACATCTGTCTACAGAATGCCATTTCTCCAGTACACGTTTGGGTACATTTTGTCCACCACATTTACAGTATACCAGTGAGAGTGCTGCTCCAAGGACAGGTCAATAAATTGAATCAGCAATAAATTTGTTAGCAGGCATTTTGAAAAAAAAAGTAATCTTTTGTCTATCAGCACTATTCACTACTGATAATCAACACTCCCATTTTGATATTTAATTGCTGCTGGCAGTTTTAGTGACTCACTTCTTTTTTGATAAAAGGCTTTGACAGGTAAGAGCTTTTAAGGTGCTGTGTGAACGTAGGAGTTTCTAAAATGTGTGCACCATTTCTGTTGGAATAATGTGGAATTTAAGATTGACAGTTTTTCCAGTGCACTTTTGGGTATGTTTACATATTTAGAGTATACCTGTGAGAGTGTTGCCCCAAACATATGTCAATGAATTATTAGCTGATCCGCAGATAATTCGCTGGCGTGCGTTTCAATAATCAATTCATCTTTTGTCTATCCTCACATTATTCGGAACAAATAATCATTACTGCCATTCGACGTCAAATTACTGCTGGTAGCTTTGGTGATGTGCTTCTGATATAAGCAGTCACTCTCCTCCTTAAAAGACTGGGACAGGGAAGATCTTGTAAGGTGCAACGTAAGCACAAATGTTTCTAAAATGTGTGTATCATTTCAATAGGAGTAATGCGGAATTTAAGATATCCATCTGCAAATTGCAATTTCTTCATCACACTTGTGGGTACATATTGTTGATCACATTTCCAGTATACCAGTGAGAATGCTGCTTTAAGGACGACTGGAAAATTAGTTCCAGTCATCTTGATAATCAAGTCACCTTTTGTCTATCATCGCAAGTGGTTGCTTCCAGTCTTTCAATTATGAGCTTTTGATGCTTTTCTGTGTCATGTATGACAAAAAAGTGGACTTGTGTGAGTTTTTGGACTGGTGAATCAATGTCTTTCAGCTGTGGGAACTGTTTTTGGCGTTTGTTAGATTAGTCAGTAATCTGAACAATCATCAGCTGCAGCCCGAAAAGAAAGTAGTGTAAATAACAGAAATACTTCTCATTGTTGTGCAAAAGAATTCAACAGCCCCGCAATCTGTACCTCCCAAAGTGGCAATAAAGTTGAATCAACACCTCTCTATAGCCGTCTCCACAGGAACTGAACATTATAATTTGTAGGATTTGCTGCAGGGTTTCATGCTAGACTCCATTGCTTTCAGTCAGGTGTAAATTGCAGGCAACGCAGCTCTTTTTTAATTTTCTACTCTTTTTGAAATAATAAGGGACTCATAGAAGCCCCAAACTTTTGCTTGCGTTCACAAAATATCGCTTGCATACTTGGGCCATTCAGATTTAATAGCACACTGTGTCAGATGAAAACTGAACCCCACACAAGGCACTCCCACATTCTTGATTGCCACAAGTGTGCATATCACAGCTTGCACAGGCCTGGGCCAGCGTTCAGACTTAAGCCTACCCGGAAAGTTAAATAATGTTTGCCATGATCCAGGTCTCATATTTCCCACCACTAATGCAGAAGGGAAGAGGCAGAGTGCATTAAGATGACCCCAGATCAGAGCTGGCTGTCAGTGTGGGCTAACAGTGTCCCTGGAGAGCTGCTGTTTCTATTAATTCTCCTACGTTCTGGCTGGCTGACAGCAGCTGCGTGCATGTTCAGGCCTGTCCATGCGGAGGTCAGCTCCTATCACTGTGACACATGAACTCCCTGATGAGGCTCATTGCTACCGCTCTTGACGACAGTTTGCAGTGATGCTGAGTGCTGAAGGAAGCAGGCACTGTGCACTGAATGAGTCAATAGTTGCATCTGGCGGTGGAATCGGAGGAATAACATATCACATATCATTGGGGGGTAATTTAAAGTAGAGTTACTGGAAAAAGGGGAAACAAACGATGTAGTCATAATATCTTAGAGGGCCAAAGATGATAATGAAATCTCAGGGCTAATGTTCTCTTGTTGGTCAAACAGAGTTAATTATGTTTAAAGGTTTTGTCCAAAGTTCTTCTAAGTTTTCCAGTCATTTTGCTTGCCAGATGGTTAAAACAGTGTGCGGAGGAGCAAGGAGGGAAAGCTAGCTGTTTTTAAAGGGCTGTGACCTGCGAGATAAAATTTAAAATAACATGACTACCTCTGGCTAGAAAGCCATGGTATCACAACATGGTGAGTTTAGTCGAGACCAAGTTATTTTTGGATGTCGGTGGTTGATGTGGGCAGTGGGGCAGCCTTTGCGTGTGTGGGCGTATGTCCCAGTGTGTTTACACTGGAGATAAAACCTACATCCCATGAAAAAACATTAGTCACAGTCACTTTGACTTAGATTCCCATTTGAAGTAGAAAACAAAGTGTATCAGGCTTTGACTATCACTTGGGCAGGGCTGTTGGTTTACTTGCCTTTCAGGTCTCTGTGGTTTTGACAATGAGCTGTTTTTACTTTTTTGAGACACAGTAGGCAAAGTGAAAGCTAAAGCTCCTATCCAAGATCAAGTCTTAGTCACTCAACAACGAGCAATTGTGGCATTGTGGTATTGACCCTCCCTCCCTCCCTTTTTTCTCTGTTTCTCCTTTTAAAATCCTCTCTTCCTGTGAGCTGTAAACTTGGGTTAGTCACAAACATTTGTGTGTAAAGTGCGTCAAGCCATGAAAGTCTACCAGTTTCCGATGGTTGAGGGGTGGATGTGAAGTGTGGTGGCCTGCAATGCTTAAACGTGACAAGATGACTAACAAATGTTTTTCCTTGTGTTGTTTAGTGACTAAGACCCTCATTTCTAAACAGAGATTGAATGTATTTCAGTTATACCTGGGTAAATCAGGAGCAAAAGAGAAATAAAGGGAGAAGTTGAAGTTGATTGGATGGGTCAACGAAGGCTCAGATTGATATTCACTTCCTTTTCCTGAGAACAGTTGGTGTTAGTTTCTTATGGCATTGGTCGTGATTGTTCCCTAACCCTAACCAAAAGGATGAAGGCCCTTTAACCTTAAGGAAGTAGCCATTTTAACCCAAACCACGAAGTTTTCCCAACATTAACCATTGAGTTATTTTAACCCAAACCCACGTCCTTTTCCTAATCTTCAGAGAACATTTTTGTGCTTAAACCTGCCCAAACTTTAACCAATGTGGTATCACATCACGACACAGTTCTCTGTTTACTCTGTTTTGTTGGAAGGCACTGCAGTCTTATGTAATTTTGCTGACAGATGAAGATTTAATTACAATCATCAAATTTTGTCATTTAATTTAGAAGAATCATTGACCACTTTTCTACTTCTGATTATTGATTAACATTTGTCTGCCAAGATTTTGACAAAAATGTGCAATAACATTAAGCTGACAGAAGACTGGCTGATGACGACCACTTTTTAAAAGAAGAAATAAACAACTCGATTCACATTCTTTCTTTTCAGAAACATTTTGGACAACTTTGGCTTTTTCATGAATGTTACAGCAGAGTGGCTTTTAGTACACTGCTGGAGACATAACAATATCAACAACAAAGCAGCTCTCAGTGCTATTTCCTCCAGTATACATACACACAACTTCTATTTACAACGAAGCATTTTACCCGTTAGGTCGGTCAATAAATTACACTTTCATTTCATTGTTTTAATGCAAACCTGAATACATAATATTAACAAAATAACAAAGAGCTTCATCTTATGACAGAACTTCACCAAAACATAAATCACATTTTCAACTCCAAGAATGCCATCTTTATTATACACTCTGCACTTGCTGTTACGGTAAAACTATTGCATTCTGCAAGTTCCTAAATTGGCCATTTCCTCAGGATACGATATTGGTTCTGTTCCTTATATTGATTGCATACACAAGACTACAGAGGCATCTTTTACAAAGAGAAGTAAGACAAGTTCTGTGTGAAAGGAACTGCTAATTAGTCATCACGA